GAGTAGACAGCAAGAAATAATCAAACTGAGAGCTGAACTCAACAAAACAGAAATAGATAATAATAAGATGAATCAATAAAACTAAGAGTTGGTTCTTCAAAAAAAAAAACCTAACAAAACAGACAAATCCTTATCCAAACTAACTAAAAAGCAGAGACAGAATATCCAAATTAACAAAATCAGAAATGAAAAAATAGCATAAAAACAGACACTGAGGACGTCCAAACAATCATTAGTTCATACTTAAAAAATGGAAAATCTAGCTAGGTGGAGGTAGTGCACATCTTTAATCTTAGCAATCGGGAGGCAGAGGCAGGTAAATCTCTGTGAGCCTGAGGTCAGCATGGTCTACAAAGCAAGTTCCTGGGAATCCAGGGCTGTTACACAGATAAACCCTGTCTTGAAAGATCAAAGGAGAAAAAATTGGAAAATTCAAAAATAATGAACAAATTTTTGATAGATACCATATACCAAAATTATATCAAGATTAGATAAGCAATGTAAATAGACCTATAACCCCTAAGGAAATAGAAGCAGTCATTGAAAGTCTCCCAGTCAAAACCAGCCCAGAGCCAGATGGTTTCGCCTCAGAATTCTACCACACTTTCAAAGAAGAGTTAATACCAGTACTCCTCAAGTTATTCCATGAAATAGAAACAGAAAGAACAATGTGAAATTTTTTTTTATGAAGCCACAGTTACCCAGTTACCCAGACCACACAAAGACTCAACAAAGAAGAGAATTACAGACAAACTTCCTTCATAAACATTGATGCATAAATACTCAGTACAATTCTGGCAAACTGAATTCAAGAATATACCAAGAAGAGAATCCACCAATTAAAACAATCCTGGACAATAAAAGGTCATCCAGAGGTATCACCATGCCTGATTTCAGCTTGACTGCAGAGCTATAGTAATAAAAACCTCATGGTATTCACAGAAAATAGACAGGTGGGTCAATGGAATTGAATCAAAGACCCAGATGTAAATCTACACACCTATGGACCCCTGATTTTTGACAAAAAAGCCAAAATTATACAATGGAAAAATATCTGGTTCCAGAGACTTTCTGTGTGCTGAGAGGCCCAAAGCACCTGTCTCTCTTGACAAACTGGGGCGGGATGGGGGAGGGGGGGTCGTGATAAAGGAGATCTCACCAAAGCCTCTAGAAATGTTGTGGAAATCTTTTTGGAATAAAAATCAGTAGCATGGAAGAGAGAAGTCACCCATGGACCAAAGCCCACCTAGATTCCAGCAGTCCTGAGTCCAGTTTGTATCTTCATTTTATACAGTAAAACAATGAGTCGTCGAGGTGGGCAAGCAAGCAAGATTTTATAAAAATGTTAGCAGCAGCAGAATGTTAGCGGCAACAATCCGTTGTTTCATCTGTTTCTCCAGGTCACTCTGTTTCAGGTAGCAAGCGAAGTCATGTTTGGCAAACAGACACCCCAAGCAGTACTTTAAGTAGATCACTAAATAAATCAACATCTAACAATCGGTCTTTTATACCTGCACTTCCTCCAGCAGGGTTACACTTCTGGAACTTCCCTAAGTAGCCACCAACTGTTCAAATGCAGGAGCCAATGAGGAAGATTCTCATTCAGCCCACCACGTTCCGCTCTTGAACTTACTTCTGCTTTCCAGGAAGAAAGAAACGGCACCAAGGAAGATGAACAGCAAGAAGCCCTACCACATCCTGTCTCTTTGTGCCACTTTCCGGAGTTGGCCAGCCAATCAACTTGACAACGATAGTGGGGGGAAAAGGGAGGAGGATGAAGCATCCCATAATTCCTTTTCCTCCTAGTTCTTCCTTACCCTGCAGTGAATCAGAGAGTGTAAACAGACTGTGTGCTGTCGAGAGGTGACGTGACAAGACCAAGTTCAGGTTCGAAAGTGTTTCTAACTCTTCTTAGGAGAAGGAAAAAATCACATTTATGAACTATGAAGTCAACTGCATAACTTTTATGACTCTATGCAGAAGTTAAATGTCCTTACATTTATGGTATGAAGTCAGAGTGAGCGGCGAGATTCATGCTAATAATTTAAAATTTAAGCTTTCTCTACTTAGAATAACAGTATATAACAATTTAAACACTTTGAGAAACCAATGGTATTTTATAGAAAGATTGAACTTTATATTTTAGTACATGGTATGTGCATGGGTGAGTATTTCTGTGGGTATGGAAGCACATGGAAGGTTAGAGGTCAACCCTGGGTGTCATTATTTAGACACTATCCTGCTTCATTTGTGATTGGCCTAGAGATCGTCAAGTAGGCTGGGCTGGCCGGCCAGCCTCAGGGACCTATTTGTCTCTGCTTCTCAGTGCTGCAGTTGGTTATGAGCCATGCCAACCACACCCAGCTTGTTGTTAGATTGTTTGTTTTCATTCCAAATTTGCCTTTTTTTCCATTTTTAATTGAAAATGGATTTCTTCATATAATATATTCTTATAGCAAATTTATTTCCCTCAACTGCTCCCAAATCCTTTCCTCCTACCCAAACCCATACCCTTTCTTTCTCTCTATCATTAGAAAACAAACGGGCATCTAAGAGACAATAATACACCCAACCTTTTAGATGAGTTCTGGGGACTGCGCTCAGGTTCTCATGTAGGGTAGTAGGCACTTTACAACGGAGTCATCTCCCTAGCCTTGCTTTATCGTCCTTAATGTCGCCCTTTTATTCTGTTTTGAATGAGCCCCAACTATTTTTTACAAGCCCCCACCACCACCACAATGTAGTCTCTCAGCTTCAGTTACCATTACTCTATGACGTTGGCCATGTTTAGCTCAAGAGAATGAATTTATACCATCAGAGTGCAAAGATGCTGGTCCCTTGTTGATCTGCTCTCCAGTGCTCTAACCCCGCTCCATGCCCATAGTCACAGGGGAGAGAGGGGAGCAGAGCGAGAGAAAGACTGTTCTTCATCTTATCTCAACATGTGCCCCCCTCTTCCTTCCATCACACACACACTTGCACGCATGCACGCACATTCACGCTTTACGCTTTCAACTCTGCTCACAGCACCCACGTTCTTATTCTTCCCCACTATCTCAGAAACTGATCACCTTTTACTGAGCTCACTGTCAAAGCTCTCCTTGTCTCTCTTGGGGCTCTCCTCCTGCAACTGCCGTGCAGACTAAAGCGAGAAACTAATATTTCTCTGTGCCTATGAAGGAGGCCACCCTACTGGCCACGGGAAATCCCTAGGCTTCTGAGAATGGCGTGTTGCTGGCAGAGCAGGTGGCCCTGGCCTGCAGCTCAGTAACTTGACTTGTTTGAAAGGGCAAAGTTTGTTTGAAGGTGCAAAGTGTGTGTGTGCATCACACACAGAGAGACACTCACGTGCGTGCACACTGGCAACCTCCCCAAACCTGAGGGAATGCCCTGCTCTTTCTGGAGGTTCATAGAATGGAAGTCTGAACCAGTTCTCTCTGGATCTAAACTGGACAGGAGTGCCCTGCTGAGTTTTGAGCTCCGACCTCCATCTGCATCTCTGACCTGGCTTTCCCTCCCTAGTAGACCCATGTATGAGGGACTTTTGCTGAAGCCCCGCAGGCAGCGGTCCTAGCTTCCCGAGGTGGGGTGGATGTTCACCTTGGTATCTCAGAGACAGGGCCTTTGCGGTTTGGAGGAGAGGCTGAGGGCACTGGGGAATGACTGGCATGTTTGCCTTCACACGGAATTAGCAAGAGCTCCGAGATAGCTGCTTGCTTCCTCTGACTGGGATACTCCAGAACATAATGATCTTGTCGTCTAAGTGTCTGAGTTTTTTAGTTTTCACACTTTCTAAAATGACAGCTTTAACATTCCTCCACGGGATCCAACAGACTAGATTCTCTCCTGGCGAGCGACTCCAAAACGAGCTACCTAGGAGTAGCAAAGTGGGCAGACGGGTTCCGCTCGAAGACGGAGGTGGAAAACAGATTGATTAAAAAAGGCTGACTTCGCCCCTCTCTCCCACACCAGGTGCTCCTGGAGCAAGGGCGAGGCCTCCAGTCCCACACTCACGGAGCAAGGGCATGGCTTCCAGGTCACGGTCATTCCACGTGCTTCTCCAGCTGGGTGCCGTGTGGGAAGCAAAAGCTTCCTGGCTCCCTGCCAGAGACAACTTGTTCCAACTTCCTTCGTATTACACCCCATCAGGCAGGGCAGCAGGGACACTGAGCCGGCCCGCAATAATCTGTGTCCACGCAGTCTGGCTGCGCTCTCCTGGTGACGTGGTGCAGGGCTGCGGCGGAAGTCAGTCTGCCTGCCTGGCAGGGTGGCAGGGTTCTGGGGTGGCCCTTCTGTTCCTCAGTCATCTTGTGACTCAGAAGCACACTCGAAAGGCCTTAATTCATGGTCACCTCTCCTCCCCCATTCCCTTTACACTGTCGACAGTTAGTTAATATGGCCATTTCTTCATTCACCTCAAACCTGCTTCTGCCTCTTCTGCCGCCTTCGGTTGGTTCATGTTCGTGTGTGGAGAAGAGAGGGCTACCTTTTGTTACGGTTCCTCACTACCCTTGAAGGTACATCTTTGGGGGTGTGGCTATGCAACTTTGAACTGGATTCAGACCCAGCTTAATTTTTGTACAAGGCACATGGAAAAGATCGTGGGAAGGTTGTAGTCAGATGGAGGGATTCTGAAGAAAAAGCACCAGACACAATGATGCTGGGCCCCAGAAAAAGCTCTTAGAAGTAACTCTTTCTTGGAGAGGGGACGTTGGAGTCTGTGGAAAAGGCAAAGGAGCTGTGCTGAGTGCGAGGGCCACACCTGGCGTTCTGATGCCGCTGGCTACTGTGACCTGGAATTCAAAAAAAGCTCTACCTGATGTTACTATTCAAATTCTTCTTAAAATGGGGGAAATTTGTGGTTTTAATTCTTTTTAATGATTTTTCTCCTTCCTTCTCCTCCCTCCAATCACTCCTGTGTCCCGCTGCCCCTCTCAAATTCATGGCCTCTTTTTCTTTTTTATTGTTTTATAGATATGAATAAATATATCAATGCCACCTGTCAGTCCATTTAGTACTGCATATATACACATTGGCTTGGCAAGAGAATTTGTGGCTGATTCTTAAAACGCCAGAGAAATGATTTGGTAGATAACTGGAAAAGTTATCAGAGATGGGTGGCCGTGTTCTTCACTCTGTGGGTGTGAAGGTGGCCTTGTGGTGAGCGAGTGACTGTGGGTCACCTGCCCCTGAACAGTCTGAGACTTTGGCCTTCAGGGAAGTGTATCCTGGGTCAGGTTGGAGTAACATTCATTGTTCCGAAGAGCACTGAGACAGGGCGAGGTAATCATAAAGTGAGAGGGGGAGGGGGAGAGAGAGAGGTAGAACCACCCTGCTTCTCCCACCTATGCCAGCTCTTTGAAGAGTCCCAGAAGGAGTCAATGCAGAATCCATGTCAGCAGTATTTTCTAGTCTAAGACGGCCTAAGTGGCTTATGTCATGCAGTGGTTCTCAACCTGTGGCTCACCATCCCTTTGGGGGTCACATATCAGATATCCTGAATATCAGATAGTTACATTTTGAGTCATAACAGTAGAAAATTACAGTTATGAAATAGCAACTAAAGTAATTTTATAGTTGGGGAGAGGTCAGCACAACATGAGCAATTGTATTAAAGGGTTACAGCATTAGGAAGGTTGAGAACCATTGTGTTATTGTCCTAAACCATTTCTTATGTCCTAGGACAACTGTGTATTTCAAAAACATGCAATTTGGAGTAGCATACTATAGAATACCACAGAACAAGGGAACCTTGTCCTCAAGGAGCTTTAGCATCTTGGACTTGCATTTCAGGCTTTGCTTACTACTGGATAAGCTTCCTACCCCAGTACTGATGGGTGGAACTGAATGCTGCTTTCTGTGCCGTGTTGAGAGAAGTTCTTGTAAGGAGTGTGTGCCCAACAAGGGCTCATACTCTCCTGTGGATAATGTCATCTAGCTACCAGAAACAGAGTTAAGGAGGAAGGGATGTTTTCTGATTCTTAAGCTTGTGGGTGTGTGTGTGTATGTGTGTGTGTGTGTGTGTCTGTGTGTGTGTGTGTGTGTGTGTGTCTGTGTGCGTGAGTGCCTGTGGACACCACAATGCCTGCTCTGGTGAGGGAGATTAAGGACTTGATCATTTTCAGAGTTTGCATTTAAATGACATCATTTGAGCAAGGCAACAGCCCAGTAAAGTGGATAGGGTGTGATTTCCAGGTCCATTTCACACACTGGGGAGATGGCAGCTGGGATACAGTGACCCTGCTCAGTCCTGTGGCTAGTCAGTGGCAGAGCTGGCCCCCCGCACCCCGGCTTCATGCTTCTTCATCTGGATGCCTTGCTTCTGGCACGCAGTGTCCTTCCATCTGAAGGCCAAAAGTTTTACTAAGAGATAAAGTCAGAGAAAGGAGTGTTAGGTTGGAATTCATAAATGACATCAATAGCCAACTGCCAGATTAGATAGTGAGGGAAGTGTTGGACTTTGAGATGATTGAGCAAAAGGCAAAGAGAAAACACAGGCACAGTGGTAAATAACACAGCATGAGGGGGCATGGCGACGGAGCTTGGTGGGCTCTGAGAACCAGTCTCTAATTCTCCCTCGATTTGGTTCCTTAGTAACTCTGAAGTTCTTTCCTAGCTGGTCTGTCTCTGCCACAACTTGACTGATGGGACACGTTTCCTCAGATAAGAAAAACCTCAAATTGTCAACGAACAATTACTGCTTATTTCAGTCTTAAAAACTCACCAGCACAGATTTCAATAAGAAAATCCATCTAATGAAGACTAGAGGAGGTATATTTCAATTCCAGCCACGATCCTTCCAGCTGAACCGTGTAGATGTGGCCACTTGTAGGGAAATTTCTTCGTCCCTTCAGGGCTCAGTTTTAGTCTTCAGCGTCTAGGGAAGTGGGGGTTTTGATTCCTAGACTAGACACTCTTGAACTCACTGGCCCCAGATGGTTCAGCCCACACAGGCACTCTGGTTTTCACAGAACGAACAGTTCTGATTGCTTAGCAATGGAGAATGTCAAAACATTGCCATGAAGACATGGAAGGTAAAACCCTTTTGCTCTAATGCTGGTCCCTGAGCCTCCTTATGGTACTGCAAAGCTCTTACACCTTCCCATTCTGAGCTTTTAAAAACAATCACCTGAGGGGACAGAGAAATGGCTTAGTGATTAAGACCATTAGCTGCCCTTATATAGGACCCAGATTTTGTTTCCAGCACCCCTAAGGTGGCTCATAGTTTTCTGTAACTCCAATTCCAAGAGATCTGACACTTTCTTCTGATCTCCACGAGCACTGCACATTTGGTGCACCTACATATATGCAAGCAAAACACACATATACACAAAATAAAAATAAGTAAACTATAACCTCCAGTTCCAGGGTCTCTGATGTGTGCTGGGAAACAGGCAGCACACAGTTCAGATATATACATGCCGGCAAATACTCACACATATAAAATAAAATAAACCTGTTTGATATGGTAAACTGAATAATCTATGATCTTAAGTCAATAAAGATGAAACATTAAGAAGAGAACAGAAAGGAATTGAAATTAATATGTTTAAAATTTTCAGCAATTATTAGTTGCAAAAAATAACAGTTTTTTTCTGTGACATTTTCCTCCTGGGTGTTTGTTATATACTTTGATCATATTCATCCCCATAACGTCCTCTTTTTACCCCTCCTCCAAGTCCCTTCCTCATCATTCATAGTCTGCCTTCTATTTTTATGTAGCTTATATATTTGCCTCTCCCTAGATTTCACATAGCAGAGCAAGTGTGCAAACGTATCCTTCAAAGTCTGGCTCATTTCAGAAAGCAGGTCGTATCCTAGGTCCAGGAGATCAAGCCTGGGATTTTTCCACCTATTAGCCACACAAGACATTTAAAGATTATTTCTCTAATTTTATGTGCCTTTTATGTCTGTCTACCATTTGCGTTGGTGCCCTTGGATACCAGAAGTCGTTATCAAGTTCACTAGAGCTGGAATTACAGATGGTAGTGAGCCACCCTGCTTATATACTGAGCTCCAAACCCGAATTTTCTGGAATAATAAAAAAATAATTAAATAAAATGCTCTTGCCTGCTGAGTCATCTCTCCACACACTCTGTACACTTGGGTTGATGGTAACATTATCTACAATAGCCAAAGGTCAAAAAAAAAAAACCCTCCAAGGATTCATTTACTGGTAAACGGAGGAATAAAATATGACATACTAATGCAGCAGAATATTACGCAGCCTCGAGAGGAGAGGCAATGCGTGCCAGAAGCAAAGTATCTCATGAGGCAGGATGGAGTGGGAGCTACGGTAGGAATGAAACTTCAGTATGTTGTACTGAGTGAAACACAAGCAGCTATGACAACTGTAGGATCCCATTATATGAAATAGCTGCAAAAGTCTAACTTGTAACGGAGAAAACAGAACGGCGGTTGCCAGATTCTGGGGAGAGGGTGAAACGAAGAGTCATTTAGGAGATAGAGTTTCAGTTTTGTGCAAGTTATGAAATTTGTTGCCTAACAATGATACTTAATGATACGGAACTGGGCACTTAAAAAGATTAAGACGGCAAACTTTATGTCATAGGTAGTTAATCAGCATATTGTTTTAGAAGTAAGGGGACCATGGATTCTTATATGACCTGACAGGAGAGTTGCAGCCCAGCTTCCTGTGATTCTACAAATAAATCATAAAAAAGAACTTTCAAAACCTACAGTGGTAAAGGCTATATTCTACTTGTCAGGTATTTCAGAGATCATAAGGATTAAAATGTTAAGCTGGTTGTTCTAGACATTTTGAGATTTGTCTGAGTGATTCATGCTCATATTAACATTTTATTCAACAAATATGCATTGGGTACCTCGTGTATTCCAGACACGGCGCTAGATGCTGGAGACAGTGGTGAAGCATCCCTGTCCCATGCCTTGTGGGTCTAACAAGCAGGCTGAAACTATTGGCATCAAGTACTAATTGGCCATGCATAAAATCGCAGCATTCATACCGTTCTTAGATCTCTTTCTTCATGTTACTTCACGGAGTCATTCATGGGCACTGCCGTGACAACCCTTTCTGCACCGCGATCATCCCAACTGCCATCATTACTATCACCACCATCACCACCACCCCCACCACATCACCATCACAATGTGTTAGTACATTTTTGTACTCAGTTTGATTTGATTTGTGACCTCAAACCTTTCCTACCTTTGAGGCTATGAGCTCCTTAAGATTAGATCGATGTTTCTCTTCCTGTGCTCACATAATATCCTGTCTCCAAACTGTCCACACAGCTAACAAAAGGCCAGATACAGAATCTTAGGAAAGACGGTGTAAACTGTGCTGGTAATGCTATCTCCAACTCCTCGGCTAAAACAATGACAGTCTTAAGCCATCCTAGCCTCAAAAGCAGACAGCGAAACAATAAGAAAATACCTCTGTCAATGTTCGAAATGACATTTTTAAAAGTCCATTCCTGATTCTTCCAGTCACCCCATGTGGGCGACTTCCCTTTCCCTTGAGTCCTTTCCCCTCAGCATCCCTAAGGCCGCAGTGGCCCATGCTTACAGCTGTTAGTTTCTGTGTGACTCATACCTCGTGATGTATATGAACACATCTGACTTGTTTAGCATATTCAAACCATGAGTATTCCGCGTGGGGCAGCGAGTGGATCATAAAGGGAGCATTGTTGAAGGCATTGCCGGAAAGGCACATGAGTGATATTATATTGCCTCTTGAAATAATCTGCAATTGGACACCTCTCATTCAGAGTTCGGCACATACATCAGAACGTTAGTGAGAATCCAGCTCTCTGCTAGACTTCTGCTCGTGTCATTTAATTCACGCTTGACAATCAGTTCCTGGTGTTTTGTTGTTTGGTTCATGGGTTTGTTTTTTTGTGGTAATGGAGACTGAATCTCGGGCCTTACAGCGGCCAGGCAAGCCCTTTCCCACCAAATCGCACCCTCGGTCCTCATAACTAATTTCTGCTGGAAGCCTTGCCATCTCATTGCACATGTGGTGAAAATATGCATTCGTAAGATCGGGACAGTCTCCCAGTGTTCTGCAGCCCCCACGTCCATTCGTCTTCCTACACATCCTAGCTTAACTTTGAACAGTTTACAGTTAGGAGATTTTTATAGGCAACAGCAGTTCTCCCAGCTAAAAGGGAACCAAAGGAAAAAAAGCCCTCAAAGACAACACAAAAGATAAACAAAAACCAAGCAACCAATCAGCAATAAAATAACCCTGCAGCTAATCTCTTGAGTCAGCAGCTGGGTTTTTCCTAAGGTTCGGAGAGTGGTAGCTTTGCTCTCATGAACTCTGAGTTTCAGCCACACTGCACTGCAAGCCCCAGAGGTGGGCATGCTGACGACACAGGGGCAGCATCCAGCGGTACTGCTCAGGGGCCAGGGCACTCCTGCTCCTCTGACATGCCCGGCCAGGCAGCTGTTCACGTGAAACCATGCCCAGCTTGAGCAGGAATGCCTACCTAGGTCTGCCGACGCAAGTCATTTCTCTCTGATTAATGCAGGTTTAATGTCCAAGGTCGTAAACCGCCTAGAAGGGAACAAGAATGAGCTAATCCATGCTGTCTCTGGGCCACCAAAATGTGGTTGGGTCTGCTTCAGACCATGGCTTGGAGGAACTGATTCTCCCTGTGTCTGCCTTGTGAGTCTGGACCAATTCCTTACTCTCGGAACCAGAGTTTCTTTGTGCATAAAATAGGGATAATAAACCTTTGGTCAGAAGGTGCAGCAATTACAGATCATGTAAGAAAAGATCATAGTGTATCAGAAAGTCTTGAAAAATAAATGACAGGTGATATTACTGTTATAATAACACTCATAATACTTTTGTCAGTTCTTCCTTGAGTTTCTCTTTTTGCTTGCTTGTGCATGTTGGGTATGTGCTCTACCACTGAGCTACACCTCCAGCTCCCTCCGTTCTATTTTAACAGCATCATGTATGTTGACCCGCACAGGTCATCTTGCGCTAATGAATTAAGAACCTAGTACTTAGATGAGTTCCTGGTAGAGACGTGGGAACCAGAACATGTGACATCAAAGCAACATGTTTCAAAGAACGTTTGTTTTCCTAAATCATGACAATTCCACCATGTATAGATTTATGCCTCCTCCATCATTTGCCCCAGGAAGGATGTTTATTTTTATTTATTTTTATAACATTAGATTTGGATCTAATACTCAGTAGGGAAAGCTATAAAATGAACCCACAAAGTTCCATATTTGGGATGTTCTGATGGCTCAGGTCAACAACATTAAGCTCGATGCAAATTTTTATTTTATTTTATTTTTTGGTTTTTCGACACAGAGTTTTTGTTTTGTTTTGTTTTTTAACCTGTCCTGGAACTTGCTCTAAAGACCAGGCTGGCCTTGAACTCACAGAGATCTGCCTGCCTCTGCCTCCAGAGTGCTGGAATTAAAGGCGTGCACCACCATGCCTGGCTTCAATTCAAACTTTACTGACTTTGAAGACAAAAAGTAGAAGGGTTGATATGGGCGACCTGTCCACAGCTGTCTATACTCCCCACTTTAACCACTCTTTGTTAACTACTTCCCACCACAAGATAGAAGGTCCTCTGACCAAAGTTGAGAGCCACACTAATCTATGGGCAAAGATATAAATATCTCAAAGGCAATCTGATGATAGGAAAATAATAGTAGGTTGCCCCTAGAGCCTGTGATCTTCGCAGTCATAAGCTTTTACTTGGGTTTACAGTTCCAGCATGAAATCTCTCCTGTGGATTCAACTCAGATTGGGATTCAACTCTTCTAACATCCACACCATTATATATCAATGGACGCATCTTGCCAGCAGCTCAGTGAAATGCTGAGTAAGACCTCTGCCATCTTTTCTCCCCCAGCATCCTACTAACACCCTTCTCGACCGGCCCAGCACTCGGTCTACCACTCCTTGTGTGGTCTGGGACAAGTTCCACAATCCACAGAGTTTCAATCTCCTCACCTGTATAGTGTCAGGCCTGGAGTGGGACCTGTGAGATCTAAAGACTCCCTCGTAGCTCTGACATTCTATGAGCTTGAGGTGAGGAGTGTGGGAGCCTGGTTACAAAGATTGGCTGTTCGTGCGCCAATCAGTGTTATTGAATAAACACCTCCCTACTGGGGCGCGGTAGGAGGGGGAGGGCAAAAGTTAAAAACAATCCAATAGGCTTTGCTGAGAGGGCTATAAAAACCAGCGCTCCCCGAGCTGATCCGTCCGATCGGGCAGCTGCCACCTCACAAGCTTCTGCTGTCTCAGAGGACTCTTCTGTTTCACTGTGTAAGTAAAAGGACTTCCTCTCAATACCTGGGTTTTTAAGCAGAGCACTGTGTTTGCCTGGGGGCGTCTAAAACCTTGATGGATCTGCTGTGTTTACTATTTCTCTCTCACTCTGAGCATGAATACTCATTCATATCTTTCCTGAAGGTGACAAAAATGTTCCAGACGAATGGCCAGTAACTGCTTGCCCTTACTTAGAGTGACACACCTCTAAGTCTTTTGTCTTGAAAAAAATACTGTAAACAGTTTTATTTGTAGGATTCTAATCAGGTTAGATTCCTCTGATTCTCTTCTCTTTTCCTAACAACTACTTGTTGTGACATTCTGTGTCTGTGTCTACTGCCTCGTGTCATTTTCTGGGTTCTTCTCTCATACCTACTGGTACGAGTGCTGGGGTTTTTCATCCCACAAATGGACTCTTGGGGCCTTTGCCCTTTGCTTTCTCCTGGGCTAGACACTTCAGAGTGATCATCTTCAGTCATGAATCCCACTGCCTTCCAACACACGATGTTTTCCGTATCATTTTCTACTTGAACTAGACCCTGTGAGAGCAACTTCAGACATTCGGAATGAAATCCTACTGACTTACCCTGGTATACTTTCTCTACTATCTTAGAAACAGTCGCACTGTGAGAATATGTTACCTTTTTTTTATAAACCCCTCTTCAAGCAATTACGTCAGACTCCAGAGGTCAGCTTGACTCTGCTGCTGTGGTATCGCGACTTTAGGTGACGTGTATGTGGGGAGCACACAGGTCCAGGCTAGAATTTGAGGGGATAGGATAGGAAACGGGTGTGGCTGCTGAGAACCTAACAGTCCCTGTGGTTTAGGTCTCAGATTGGGGAAAAGAGCACCAGGACTCAGGCTAAGGTAGCCCTAAGCCATCTTATCATGTGTGTCTCTATGGCAGCAGGGTGCGTAACAAAGCTACACACATCTTCATGCTCCCATACATGTGTGTGCTCTGGACGCAGCTTGGTAATCACAGACTTCCCATGAAGTACAGCCTCCCCGCTGTGTTTGCCCTGAGCATAGAGAAACCAATGGACTCTGCTCTTACGTTTCTCCACGAGTTAAATATAAAGACTATAAATAGGGTTCTAAGTCAGAAGCCGTTAAGATGTAACTCACAGCCACAGAACCTAACTTAGGTCTTTAGGGCCTCAGGTTCCTCATCTTTAAGGTGGTAGGTTTGATAGAAATATCTCTGAGGCCAATTGAGCTCTGCCTCAATTCTGACTGTCTCCTCATGTATGTTAATATATACCACCTTCTCCATGCTTTATATATGCAGCTGTTTAACATACACACATATGCGCTCACACACACACACACACACACACACACACACGCACTCAAACAAACATTGTAAGGAATGAATGCAACAAAATACAAGGTCTCCCCACCCTTTTCCACTCTGCAGAATGAATGCAACAAAATACAAGGTCTCCCCATTCTTTTCCACTCTGCAGAGGTAACGTAGAGTTACTCTGTTTAGAAAGACTAACATAGTATATTGCTATCATTTCTTTTGTTGTTTTTAACATAGTACAGTAGTATGCATTGCATATTTTTCTGGAATTTTTAACTTAATAATTAAGGTAAATTATTTGCTATTATTACACTTTTAAAAATAAAACAATTTGGGATCTCAGAAATCAGAAGTCAGGGGTATAAAATTCTTTATCTGTCTTTATCAACTCTGGGCTGGCATTCTGTCTCCCAGTTGTGAACATTGACCAGTGACCGTTTTATGATTAACTGGGGGGCAAAATTTGTGCTGATGTGGTACAGACCTTTAGTCTCTTTGTAGAAGTTTAACTTGCTGTAAACAGGATGAGGTGTACTTGACTTTCCCCCATAATATTTGTTGAGTAAGCAGACTCTGAACGGAGACAATAGCCTGATAGCAACAGAAACAGGAGTGCCCTTTGGATGAGTACTTTTCTTTCAAACATTAAAAAAAAAATTCTTGTGTTTTCCTATTATCTATAAATATCTTCATATCACAACACACACATATACCAAGCACACACACACACGCATGCACACCACACACAAACACACACATACACACACCACAAAAGAGAAAAAAGTGTTTTCATACTTATTATACAGTTAGCAACTTACATTTTGAGCAACCACAGTTGTCAGAGGTTGCATGAGTCACCTGTGGTCAGATAACCAGAGCGGGTGTTAGTGTCAATTAATTAATATTAAAATAAAACCCAGAGACTTTTGATAACCTGTCCACAGTTCTAACTAGGGAGGCAGAGCTGGTCCTTGAGAAAGCTCTCAGCAAATCTCCATGTGACTCAGATGTTTGTGAACTGGCAATGTCATGGTGGACTAACTCTTAGCCCAAGCTATACTAGGCTGTCATTAGGGCTTTAGGAATCATCTCTGATCAGTTCCTTCCACCAAACCTACACTCCCCTTTGAATAAAGGGGAGCACCAAACTTCCCCCTAAATGTGTACATTATTGTGTAATAACAAATAATTTAGATTACCATCTACTCCTTCCTAATCTAATGATAGGAGGGTGTTTTAGCAACTTATCTATGGTCATGACAAAGCTTCATAACCAAGGAAATTTATAAAAGGAAACATTGAATCTGGGGCTCACAGTTCCAGAGAGTTTAGAGTCCATGACCATCACAGCAAGGAGTATGGCAGCTGGCAGGCAAACGTGATTCTCCCCATCAGTACTTGAGAGCTTACATCTTGAGACACAACCGTGAGGCAGAGAGAACTAACTGGGAATGACAAGGGCTTCTGAAGCCCCTAAGCCAGTCCCCAGTGAGACGTCTCCAACAAGGCCACACCTCCTAATCTTTCCTAAATAGTTCCAACAACTGAGGCCTGAGTACTCAAATATATGAGCCTACGGGGGCCATTCTCATTCAAAGCACCATAGAGAGAAACAGACTTGAGCTGCTTTCCAGCATTATTGCAAGGAATAAATTGCATGGTCAATGCATGTCAAGCCATTGGCAGCAGGCTTGACAATAGACAATAATGTGTTGTTATTACTGGGTCAGTTTTCCCTTTTGTTTTATTAAGGGCATGTGTTTTTGGTAACTGTCGTCTTATTTGTGCCAATACCTAAACTGAGAAAGGTATTTTTGTACCTTTTGTTCCACTCTGGTTGGCCTTTGCCAATCTGAAGACAGCAACAGCGAGACTGGCAGTTACGCCTTCTTATGAATTAGTTCAGCAAGCATTGATTCCTTATACCAAGGGACAGAGTACCAAGAGCTTCCCTTAAAGGTTTCAGGGAAAGGACTGGGAAGAATGGCTAAAAGATAAAGCTGGGTTATAAGTTAGGCTTTTTGCAGTTTGGAGCTTGGACTACTCCTGAGAAGGCTACTTGGTGTGTAGAGATATCTCTCTGTGCTTAGCAGTGAAGCTAGGATCGGCTGTAGCAAGGACCACCATGGGACTTCAGCAAAAGCCAGAACCTCTAGTCCAGAGGCTCTTGGGAAGTTTTCTCAGTGGTGTAACCCAAGTTATCTACCGTCATCCTGAACATCTGACATCTTATCCTCATCCATTGTGAATGACTACACCTACTCAGGCAAAGGGGACCCATCAGGGCTCATTGGAAATGGACCAGAAGTGTCAATGGAACCCACATAGGATATCTGCACATCTTAACCATTCTGATCACTAATCCATTGGAATCACCCACAGTTCTGTGAACAGTTGTCCTATCTTCTTTCCTAGACCTGTCACCATGGCCCACCGATTTCCAGCCCTCACCATGGAGCAGAAGAAGGAGCTCTCAGACATTGCCCAGCGGATTGTTGCCAATGGGAAGGGCATCCTGGCTGCGGATGAATCTGTAGGTGAGTGTAAGAAGTCATACCACGTGACAGCATACCCGTGCTTCTGCACCCAGAACAGGCAACATGATAATCACTGTACTTCCTCTCAGAGAAAGTAAAGGTTTATGTACTCATAGTCAGTGAGTATAGATCTTTAGAGCCCTAAAGTCTTAATAAGAAGATTCTAGATTACCAACAGAAGAAACTCGAGCCCTCCATATTAGGAATTAGTCTGTAGGAAGTCAGAAATTCAATAGTCAAGGAGAAGTCAGTAGCCATCAATTCTTTATAACTGTACATCATGGAGAAGGTGTTGAGAACTGCCCAGAAGGGAAACAGAAAATAAGATAGATTTGGCTTGCAAAACAGAACTGGGTAGTGATATCTGCCTTACCCCAGCTTGAACTTGCTACTAATGGGAAGTCTGTTTCAACTAAGCCAGCCTAGTCAGGGAGTAACCTGGACTAGAGCAAGGTTTGTGACTGAAGAAATCACAGGATGGCACAGGGCAGAGCTAGAACAGTCTTGCATAGTCTCCCCTAAAATAATAAAAAGCTAAAGTTAAGAGCTTGTCCCATCCCTCCTTCCATTGCATAGCTATCCAATGAGATGTAGAACTGGAAAGGAGAGGGTTAAAGGGCCTTCCATGTCCCAAAGATCTTGCATATCCACCGGACCCTGAGTGGTAGCCTGTGAATTTCTCGTCAGTCTTAGAGCAACTAATGTGTCCTTCTTTGAAGATCAAAACCCAGGCAGGAACTTTGAAGATCTGGGTTTAAAGGGAAGGAGAAGGGATCCTTGCTGCTTTTCAGCCTGAGGAGGAATATTGAGCATGGGAAAGACAACCGGACAGCACTGGCTTCTTTCTCCTCATGCTGCCTTTGGTCCATCTCTAGGCACCATGGGAAACC